ACACAGACACACACAGACACACACAGACACACAGACACACAGACACACTTAGCCGATTATATAAGTAGGATTCCTTATGCGCTGCAACTCAAGAGAATCTGAGTATTTTGGGACTTTGTCGGAAAATTGTTTTCCCCATCTTTTCCGACTCCTCCAAAGAGGTAAGGGATGTTGATGGTGAAAGGGTGTTGTTCAAAGAGACCGACTATGGAACGGAACATGGCTTCCCAGTACATCGTAAGCAGTATAGAAACATCGGAACTGACTCGTTCGTAGACAGTTGGGTGGAAGAACATGAAAGGGTACAACTTACCTTGGTAATACACTCACGAGCCAACTCTTTATTCCGCCTGGAAGTCCGCATTGTACGGTCATTGACTGATGTCCTTTTATCCAAGTAGTTGAGCGTTTCATACAGCATTGTGAGATAGTGTAGCTTTTTAAGAATCTATAAACACCCGACTCGTATTGCTCCACAAATACGCGAAAGCCGTATACTTCGGCTTATTTATATCTTGATTTTCAAAACTTTGAAAGGAATCTACTGCTCACCGGGCTCAGTTGTTTATCCAGAAAGTCCCGATGTATTGAGACCAGATGTTTTTCGTCTTTGATTCGCTTTTCCAAATCATCCAACATCATTTGAAACTGAAAAACACTGTATTTTCTATTAGGGACGACTTTTCACGAAAGTTTTGGCCAAAAATTCCTGCTGGAGGTCCGAGTTGAAATCAACTATACCCCTTTGAACAATGCTGTCCCCATTCCACCTGAAGGTAGACCTTGCTGTGCACGCAGTCTACTGAGAAGCTAGTGGGAGGGTTCTTTTTTACTTTCATTTTTCCCAAAGTTCAACTTGTCCAGTTGAAAAGAAGACGAAGAAGAAAAGTTTTTTTTCAAGTGATTTTGCAATTTTATCAATTTTTCCTTGAGCAAACCCTCTACAAACTCCTTTTAACTTGGTTGGGCATCTTTAGTTACCATAATTGGCAAGTCTTACCCCGAGCTTCTCGAAGGGCCGTTATGGAACCTTGACAGTACTTTCCAATCATGGAACTTACCCAATCATTTGCTCTTTGCATCATCTGATCGGCGCAGTCAAGTGTTGCATGGCAATCTGCGGTCAAAGACGATAGCCGGTCCCTCGATTCGTCCACTTGCCGAATAACGTCCTGCAGATTTCTACCCTGGCGCCGTAATGAACGCCTCAGTTTGCTTTCTTTTTCCGATCTGATCTGAAAAGCGGATTTTGACAGCACAAAATACCTGTTTAAAATTAGGTGCCTAGATTGCGCTGGATGGGTCAGGTGTACCCGGGAACTGGCCAACCAGGGAACCTCTACACACCCCAATAGCCCATCTCACTTGACTACCCAAACTTTTTATCCAAACTATCCAATCCCATCACTATTATGATTCTGAGCTAAGCAAGCTTTTTTGTGAATCCATTAGCTTTAGACTCCTTCAACGGTTATGATAGCCAAGTAAGCGAGGATCACTGGGAACCCTTGGATTCGGGCCGGTCTTCTTGCAGTCTTCACGAGTTACCAAAAGCAGCTGTCTCGAAAGGGCTGTTGTCAGATCAGAGATCGAGCGTGGTGATTCGTAGTTGTTGTCTGGAAAAGGAAGAAGAATGATCATGGTGCTCACGGTCCTTGTTAGCCTTGGCAAAATTCGTTCTTCTACTGTTCCTTCGGAACCAGATGATGCGGCTCGAAATACTCCCTTAATTACAGTAATAAAAGTTACCAAAATGATTATGAAGAAAATTTAGGCCTACGTCTGTCATGGTTCCAGTATATGTGTGTTCATTATCCGTTGGAGCGAAATGTCGAGCTATGTCGAAGCTGAAAATGAGAAAATTAGAATCGGAAAAAACTAATAAAATTGAATTTCCAAGCATCCAGACTTCAGGTTATTGACGCCCATGTAGTGCATTAACTTCTTTGTTCGAGCACTATCCAAAACTGGACCCGTAAGGTCCTGCTGATGGAAAGAAAGGCGCTGAAAAGGTAGGGTCAGTACTGATTTGAGGTTTCATGGCTTAACTTTGACATTGCTGTCACGTACACTATCCTCTTCTCCAGTTGTGCTCTGCGATCTCGATGCTGTTGTTGGATCTGACCGCCGGCTACGGATGACAATATTCTTGGGCAGGTCGCCTTTTTTGGTTGATGATGTAGGACTCATCTCGCAGTACTAAATGCCCAAGGATCATAGAGTATTGTAGCCTACTCGCTATTCCGACTACGTTAAGGGGCAAGGTCTATCAGTCGGCTTCAATCAAGTTCTAGGGCCCTGATACTTGACCTGGTTGGCAACCTAAGCGGAGGCTGATGTACAGCGTTTTGTCTCCCACATTCAATCCTGCCACCAGTTATCGATCCCTTACTGCCGTTAGAAGGGAGGAGGGGGGATATAGGTATGACGGAAGACTTATTGGGAGTTGACTCGAGCTTGACGAACTTATTTTGGATTTGAGGCTTGAAGCTGCTCATAGCTATTGTCGACAGGGGCTGATTACTCTCTGCCTCACACCTTCCTCGAACTCTTCGGGGAAAGGTCGTAAAAACATGTTCCATCTGAGGAACCGAGGAGCAGAATTTTGATTTTTAATCTTGTTTTTTCAATTAGTCAACACGTATCATTAACTATCATTCCTTATCATCAAAAATTACATTCAAGCATTGAGCGTTTTCCTGTCCAAAGTGAAGGCATACTAACATCAAACGGTTTTTGTACGTCAGCATCAAAATTCGCTCTGGCCATCCAACTCTTTGTCATTCGTAAGCTTCTGAAAAAGGCTGCATTTTTCTGATGCCTTATCAGAAGGTGTAAGCAAATAGTCAGATGTTCTAGTCTTCTACGGTCAAGCTTGGGACATGCTGATAGCTGCTCACTGTGGTCAGAATTTGCTCAAGGACCCATTCTATACCTAAACTGATTCTGCATATAATCTACCAAGGCCTTCAGAGGTAGCAAGATGAGTGATAAGAATTTTTGTCTTGGCGTAAAATGCAAATGGCACGGTGGGTCTTCCTCTACAGGAAGGACTCCTTCCAAGAGAAACGATACTGTAGTTCGGATTGATAACTAGTGATATCCCCAGATGTGATATCATAGGCTATAGCTCATGAATCCATATCATTGCGTTCCTATCATGTATACGCTACTGCATGCAGCTGAAATCAAAGTTTCTAGCGTTTTCCTGTTCTCTTTTCCTTCTTACGGCCACCTAGCACTAACGCCTTCTTTTCCTTAACGGTATGTATCTGTCCCCCTGAGAAGAAGGGGCTTTGCTGACCAAGACCAACAACTGGTCTATGGCGTTCAAGTCAGGCATCCTAAATTTCTTTATCACGAGGCAGGAGCCAAATTCATGGGCTGTTTCTATGGAACTGATTGTCATCATAGAAACGGTTTGCCCCCTTTATGGGTGAAATGCTGGCAATTGGAGCCATTAAAGTAGCCATGAATCTTGATTTTAAGCGGTCCTATCAACCTAACATAAGGTATTGGATCAAAAAGCTTCTAGTGGTAAAGTGAGGCTATCATGGGTGAGCTTACTGATCGATCCAAGAAAGATACTAGTACAGGGTAACGCGCCTTTGAGAGGTATGGAATTGAGTGGACAAGTTTCACTGCAGAACTTACGTCAAATTGTCCAACGACTCGGGTGTCGCTGTCTTCTGTTGTTTTGACGAGTCACTCTTACTGAAATGATCACCGAGCATTCTGGATCGCAAAAAAAGTGGAGCGATCGCACTGTCTTCTGTGATACTTGGTACTGCGTTCAGGGCGTATCTCTATCCTGATTGTCGGACATGAGCTACCCACCAATCACAGATAAATGGAATGGCTCATCCGCGGCGGAACCAGTCGCTCATTTTCTGAGTCCGTTTCAACTTGCCATTGAATCTCCTTATGTGGAGGCAAACTCTGTCCCACTCCTAAGTGGCACTGCTGGCACCGGTCAGATAAGCAAGCAGGTCAGGTGGGCATGGTATCCCTGAAGCACTGGCAAGGGGTCGAGTTTCAGTACGGGCCAAATCAACGCATCAACCAACAGTAAGCATCCTCACAGCCTTCCCATTCCCACAAGGGTGCTGTGAAGTGAACGAAGCTCTTAGCTTCTGACGGATTCAAACTACACCGAGCTGTGATGCTTACGCTTTATCTCTTACACTACTGAGATCCCGCTTCCCCTCAGCTTCTCATAATCATTTCGGTCATAGCCTATCAGCTTAACAAATGTATGGAGTACATGAGCGGGACCACTGATATATGCTCTAAACTGTTGACCTTTTCTCATAGATTGCGATCTCATCAATCGTTATTTAAAAGGTGATAACTGATGCCAGCTTCCCATTCGCAAGTATAGAAGCACTCAGTCGGTCGTGCAGCTGTATTAGTACTTGCTCGGCACGATAAGGAGTGACGGGTCCGTTTTGCTCATTCATTCTGCTGACTGCTTTTGTTCTTTCCACTTTATTACCCTTTTCATGCTGATAACTGGGAACTGAGGATCTCACAGATATGAATTTGGTTTGGGAGTTTCTCCCATCGGGCCTCCAGTGAGGCATAGTTGTAGCTAATCGATGATTTCGATCACAAGTGATACTCGGCCATACCAAATCAGAGAGTCCCAGTCAAGATCTTCATTCCTCCTTGTCCACACTTCTGATAGCTCCACCTGGAAATCAGTTTTATAAGGGTCTCTCATACAGTAACAATGGAGGCCTAGAATAAGGTTCAAGCTCCATTCAGCTCTTACTCAAATCTCGCTCTCGAGCTCTTGCTCAAATCTCGCTCTCGAGCTCCTGCCTAATGAGGTAGTCTAAAGGTCTGGCATGAACGACCGTATGATAGCCGCTCTGGGAGTCTTAGTGAGGAGAAGTAAGGATTCAGTCCTATCATGTGATTTCGATCGGCACCCATCCAAAGCTTCATGGGGTTGAGGATCGGTTCAAATAGTCGATGGTATCGAATACTTTGCAAGCATTCGTCAAAAATACTCCTTTAGCTTACAAAAGCTGTGCAACCCACCTGCTGTCTTGCCAAAGGATGAGATGGGGAAATGGTGACGGGTTCATCGTCAAACACAGTGAACTGGCCTCGATTTGCTTTATACTGTTTCTGCTGAAACGATGAGATCAAATTAAGAGGGAAGGAGCAAACTACGTAGGCTTAAGCCCTTAACTGCCTTTGTCTGAAGCACAGCAGGCTTGCTAATAGTAAACAGTACCTACGCAGCTGCCAGCCTAGGCAGGTAGTAATCTGTTGGGACCAGAATACCAGCGAGGCCTAGATGATATGTAGTAAGTGAAGCGGCATACCTGTATCGAAGGCGATAGAGTAAATGGCGGTCCATCTGAATCAGCAAAGCAGTCAAGTCGAGGGCCGAAATGGATTTGACTGGTCATCGACCCCAACACTCAGCAAGGCCTACCTACCGCTACTTTTATCGTACCACTTTGTCTGTTATCTGTAGTTTCACGAAAAAACAAGGAGGGTTCCTGACTCAGAAACTTCGCTGCTGAACGGTCGTGTAGGCGAACTGTGCTGTGAACGGGCATCACAGGCGATTCTTCTTGTTACTAATATTCTCTCTAGGTAGAAACCGATCGTGTTCCCAGGAAATCGATATTCGCCATGTTTCTTCCCTTTTAACTCACCCTGATCGCAGTTTAAGAAGGAAATCTAGTTGATGGCGTTTCTCAGGAGGAGCCCGAGTCCCTCCACCTTTTGTGCTTTCGCAGAATTGTTGACCGCAGATGGGTCGGCTTGGGCATCGGTCGGCTTTTCAATGACCGTTCGAATTTATGTCCATCCCACGCAAACATACCGTGCGCATCATGTTTACCAGGTTGATGAATGGCCCAACATGGTAAGGGGTCCGTTTATGACCCCTGAAGGATGGCTTTATAGCTGCAAACCTCTAGAAGCGCAAGCATTCCTGAATGCGTTCCCTTCTGATAGTGCTCGTTCTTTTCTGCTCCGTCAGGTAGGTTACATATTTCAAAGAAATTCTGTTCAGCAACAGAGAAAAACTAGAATGAGCGCTCCTACAATTCTAACTCCTTTTGGCTGCTACTTTTATCATCATTTTTCTTTTGAACTCCCAACGTCGACCATTTGTTCCGAAGGTAGAAGGGTACAACTGAAAGTTTATCTCTTCGATTCATCTATGACCTAGACTTTCTTCCAACCAAATTCGAGTCACATGGGAATGCATCGTTCCCGGTCGATGAACGTGTTACTACTTGCTTAGAGTCCCCGATGTACATACCCAGAAGTTTGTTCAATAATAATGGAATAAGATTTTAAACCGAGTGTCAGTGTGGATGACACACCTCCCTTGTATGGTGTGACATTAGGTTCGGTTTTGGCTGACTTGTGAGCCACTGGAAGCACATTGCATAAGCAGAATGAAGACTTCGGAGCGATTGAGAGTCCGATCAATATAGCGCGTGCTACAATTGTCGCAAGAAAGATCCGCTTTACGAGAAAACGGTTCTTCATGCATTTTTTACTTGTAGAGTTGTATTCTGAATAGGCATAGGTGTTCTGATGAGCTGAAAGAGACGTTTTTCTGAAAAATTTCAGTGCTGAACGAGATGCTGATCAGAAGTTGAAGTCATGTTGTGCAAAGCAGAGATCAGCCGACAAGGAATGTAAGAAGAGATTTTGCGGATTCAAGTCGATGAATCAGAACAACGTGGGTTTTCGTAATACTTCGATGCTCCATGGCTCCTAGGTTCAATTTCATGATGTGCTCAAAAAGCTAGTTCCCCTAGACAAAACCCTGATGCAGGAAACTACCATTCGTTTGCCTACGGAACTTTCATGATCGGTTAGGTATGGCCGAATTTTCAAAAGGCGAACATTGGAAAAAAACGCTTACATTGGCTACCGCTACCGCCTTGGGGTAGGTGTACCCCTGATTTATTCTTTCGGTGTTTGCTTATTGGTAATGAATTCGCGATGACTAGCAAAATAATTTCCTGCTGGCTCCTCTCTCCCTGGGAATCTCCCTCAAACGAAGTGCATGGTGCATCTTTAGGAGAGATCGGTGTCAATCACTTTTGTTTCTGCTTTTCTCAATTTCAAAGACTATGAGATGGTGTTTCTGTGAATTCATCTGATTCTCAGCTTTTTTTCAAAGAACGGCTCACTCATTTCTGTTCAGGTACTCGTCTTTTTGAACATGTGCTCCCCAAGAGGAGACACAGTGAAGCTTATGTGGGACTGTGCTTCATCCAAACATGATCATCAAGAATGTTGTAAGAAAAAGTGAGTCAAAGACTTCAAATATGCCCAGGTATCCAATGGTGAACCATAGAGTGTAAAGGGGTCGGCAGGTTCGAAATTTTTTCGACAGACGCGGCAGGAAGTGCGCACTGTACTACTGGACTTCGGAAGAGAACAGTTGCATCAAGATATAAGAAGAGGTTCTACTCAGTGGAAGCATTAGATAGCCGGTCGATTGTAGAGCATAGCAATCACAACCACCCTCTCACCCAATCCTTCTTTATCCCACCTTCCCTCTCCTCCTTCCTCCGAAGAAATGAACAACTTCTGAGAAAAAATCGCGGAGAGCAGCTGACCACGTCGCATATCCAGTAAATGATGAGATCTGTTTGTCTCGCCTGAATCCGAAATACTTCATTTCCGAGCAGATCAAGTTCGATCCTCAGAACGACTACCCCATTCTGGCATCTCTTAGCTTTGCGCTATCTTTATTCTCATTTCACTACCAATAATGCATAACCGAACCCAAGATAGGAATTACTGAAGCATTACTTTTTCATTAAACAGATAGAATTCGTTTGAAACTACAGGGTGGGCCAAAATTATGATTACAACGCGCGCTAACGTTCATTGCAAATTTTTTCTATGTTCATAACAATTTATTGAATTTCTTCCATTTCACAAAGTAGCTTACGTTATTACCTTCCTGATGATACTAAACTTTGAGTAGATTCCTAACATAATATAAGCGTAACTAGTCTGTGAATTAAACGTCGCTTTGTATTTACAAACACTTTTGGCACGGTGCATCTACAGACGAACTAGCGAAACAAGGTAGGTATTGCATTCAACCATAAGACGCTCTCGAGAGTTGGGAACAATTGCAGATAGGAGTGGTGAACCTAGGAAAGCTGTGGTTATATTTAGGGGAAGTGTTAAGGAGGCAGGGCAAAGGTCTACGTAGGAGCAAAATACATTCTGAGTCCAAAAAAGCTAAATGATTGGATATGTCACGAAATTTTCTGCGTGAAATCGTGAAGCATCACCTGCAAAACGAGACCCCTATACGGTCGGAAAGTGATTTCTCCAGAGAGCAGGCTAAAGAGAAGAGAAGGGTTGGCCAACAAAAGCTGCCTGTCGCATCCGAAAAAAATGTCCTACGGAATTCCTGTTAACCGATGAGAAGAGATTCACAGTGAAATAGGTGCTCAATAAGTAGAGTGATAACATTTATATGAAGCTTAAAGAAATGAAAATGATACAGCGCCTGGCTCACTAACTTTCTGTGATGGCCTGTACCAGCATCACCGCCGAGGCAAAGTCACCGATTATTCTTGTAAATTATGGAGTGGAAGTTGGTTTGGAGGCCTGTTTGTTCTCTTCGTGCGCAATAGGACACTTTGATGATTCGAACCGGTTATATTGTCACGATGAAGCTCCTGACTGCAGAACAGAAATTGTCTAGAAATTTCGTCAAAGGGGTTCTTTGACCTCATAACCTTCGATCAGTGACCACTCTGTAGCCCTGACCTAAATCCCATGAATGTCTCAATGTGGTCGGCCTCTGAGATGAAAGCATCCTTTAGCCCGAATATGAGAAGAAATAAACTCGAAAATGCTTAGCAAAAAGCCGGGACCATTTCGATGACCCTAGCTGCGTGCCACCGTCAATGCCGTCCATCGTCGTCTTTGGCGTTGGGTGAAAGCAGAAAGCAACAGATCCCAGTCTCAATGTACAGTTTTGATAAGAAATTTGTGCTAAACCCTTTAATGAAATTGGTTTGCTCTATTGGCTTTCTATTCGTTTTCTGCGATGTGATTTCTGTGTAATCATAATTTTGGCCCACCCTGTAGATTCATAAGAAAAAGCACCGGGTAGCCACCGGGTAGCAAGGAAGGAATAACAGCGCCGCTTCTAGCCCAATCAACCTAAATTTCCCTTATTTCTGGGCAGAAATGACGTAAGAGGATTTCGCTGTGCAGGGCAATTTATATTTTAAAAAGCCGTAAGCTGAAGCCTATCCCTTTTCCGGGGTGCGCCAAGCACTCACTTCCATTCAGAATCGTAACAGTGTTTTGAGTGCCGTATTTGCTCTGTACAATGATTTCCGCTTACCAAGCAATGTGCCTGTTATTGCTCTAACCCATCCAGACACGTGTGGTGCTGGATAACTGATTCCTTGAGACAGATTTGATTGACTGAGTGGGTAGGTCCCCAGTTTAGGCACGCGACGGTGCGGCACTTGTTACTGCGCTGCTCTCGCCTTTATTCAGCAAGCGTAGGCTACCTCCTGCAGTCACCATGGTAAAGGCCAAGCATTCGTGGAATCCTTTCCTAGTTCTGCTTGACGTACAAGTTCCCCAGAGGATCAGTTCGTCACAGATTTTACGACTCATGAAGTGTATCGTCTTATATTTTGCATCGATGACACTTTTTCAGGAAAGTTCTTCCGGCATGTATGAAGTACTGTGAAAGCAACCATTCAGTACCACCAGACTATCTGAACCATCTCATATGTCTACAGAACTTCAACGTCATTCGTGATTGCTTCCAAGAACATCTCGATAAGAACCCGAATATTTTCGGGGACTTTTAACTGCAATGGAGATCCTGACCGGAACTGATTGAAATATTTTTTTGTTAACCTAAATCTTAACCTAGTTGTTAACTTAATTTCAATAAATCTTCAGTGCACAACGCAAATCGAAGCTCTTATCATGTATGTCGTAGTTTGCATCTTCTCAGTGCGATGCTGATATCGATTTTTTGATTTACTGTATTGATTACTAATTGATAAGCTGTGATAAAACCATAAAATAAAATAAACAGAATCAAAAAATAGGCGGGAGACAGCAACCAACAAATGACGTAGCGTTCGTCCCACGGCTAAGTATGTGTCCATGGATTCTCGACAGCCGGCGAGGGGTAAGAAGGGAAGGGGAAGGGGATGAGAGAGTGAGAGATATTTGGTATCTGGTTCGCTGTCGCTGAGTAGAAGAGTGTGCGGGGCTGAACACTCAAAGCTTAGCATTTCAACATGGAACAAAATGGTCACTTCATTTGGAAGGGTTCCTCATAGGATGGGAAAGTGGGAGGGAGGGTAGAGGGGAAGGAAACGAGGCTCTCATATGCATCGGTCCGTACATAGGGCACGAAATGCTATGGTAAGTGGTATTTTTTTGCTATGTTGAATCAGTTCATTCTATGTACTCAACTTGTGGAACCAGACCCAGGAAGGCAAGAAGATAAGAGTTCACTGACGCTGCCCACACCTCATCGGGCTGGAGATTGTGAAAGAATTGAAACTGCTCGACGTATACCGATTGCTTCTCCTCTGCACTAGTACGATGCAGATGGCAGCACTCTCCAGAAAGGAATTCATTCTAGTTTTGATCTGTTAAGCGATAATTTTCTTCTACTAGTTCTCATAGGCTGCTTTCATAGTCCGCCGGCGAACCGGCCGGTGTACCAGCGTGCAAGCCGAGGTAGTGCTAGGGTGGAAGAGGGAGGCAGACGGTCGGTGACGCGGTCCCGTCGCGCCCAAGCACCTTCGAAGGGCTGAAAACAAGGAAGAACAGGATCAAAAACTATTTGCACAAGCCTGGGTCCGGGAACTTCTCCCTTAAGACGGCGTCGCGCACGCCGCACCCGCCGCGTATCGTAGGATTGCGATGGAAGATTGGAGCGCGCAATTTGTGTGGTAGGGAGTCCTTCAATTCTCTCCAATTTCAATGCAGTCTTGATCGTCGCTTACATAGGACGAGTCATTCTAATTAATCAAGTCTAATAAACATAAAAATGAAAAACGATCAAATCTAATAAAAAAGAAGGGCAATTAATTAAAAAAGAAGGCAACGAAAAATTCCGCGACCTATCGGTTGGTGGGGAGGCGGGGAGAGTACGGTAGTTGCAGTGACAATTGCCGCATGCCGCAAGGGAGAATGCCGCAATCGGGGAGAAGTTCCGTTACCCTCCCCCCTAGCACTACCTCGGCTGGCACGCCGGCACGCCGTCGGACTATGAAAGCAGCCATACGATAGTAATACTTCAAAAGGCCAAAGGCGGACGCGTATCGGTATGTCTATCGTTTTCTGATTTGATAGGGACTTTCTTAGTGAACCGGTTGAGAACCAAGGTGATACCCATCTTAGGAAGTAATAACAACTGCCTTCATGCTGTCTGGATGCGAGATTTTAATGATTTCTATGATAAGAAATTCATGAGGAATTAGCATTCAAAATATAAAATGCTGCCAGTTCGATGAGAGTACCAAAGATGTATCAGTTTCATTGTACCTTTCCAAGGAACCGACCCCGGTTCAATTGACGATTGGCGCTGGTCTTTCGCAAATCCAAAATGAAACTGCCTCACTGCAACGAATATCAATTTGCCTTTACTCCGGCTGCATGAAAGATTTGAGTGTGGACGTGTCGAAGTCCACCTCGCAACTGGTTTGGCCGATAACCTTCTGCACTTACCAGTCTGCCTTCTCTCCTTTGCGGTTTTCCAGCACCTTACTCACCTGGAACATGATTCACTGGATTGGGAGCCAGTATGGGAGAGTCGTGGTGTACGGGTTCCCGCTGAATGCAAGATGTGACCGAAAGGCGAGTTATGCATGAGCTAGAGGCTGTGGAAAATTTCAGGGTGCTGCTGCGTATATCAATGACGTTCTGCTTCTTACAATTAGCAGACGTCAACCTCTTCCAAGAACAGATCCCGCTCTGGAAAGGGATCCCTCATCCGGGTGATAACGCGGCAGAGGAAATATCAGAAGTTTCGTCATAACTAGGTGGCTAGAAGAATCTTTCAATTTCACAGCACGCTCTCTCCCACGCACCACCCTACTAATAAATACCTGGGTAGATGTCGCTTGCAGGACGAGGGCAGTCGATGGCGACCAATCATTTTATCGATATCGACAAGCTGTCATTGATCGGTGTTTCTAATTTCGAGTTAACTTGTGGTGGAAGACGACGCCGGTGATCACTAACCCAAAGTTTTCCAAAAAGTTATCGCTAATTGCAGTTGTGGCGAAAATTTGTGCAGAGCTGAGATAGAGCTGCGATCGTGGTACTGCAACCCGACTTTCATCCCCTGGCTCGCTCACCCTTTTCAACAATACATTGGTTTTTTAATAGAATTATAAACCTTACATACCACCATAACGGTCTCCTTCTGAGAGTGTCCCATGCTTAGATATTCACTATGTCAGCCGAGCTACCTCTCACAACCTGTTTTACCTGGATTCCGAGCAGCTACCAACCATTTAGTAGTAGAGTTCATTGGCTGCGCCTGCCACAATTTTTTGTCGCATCAACGAACCATTTTCTTTTGCTAGTAAGTTTTTCGTCATTATAACCATCCTTACTATATATAAAGCGCTCTGTCTGTCTGTCTGCTGTACGGAAATTCGAGATAACCTGAAGTAACACCTGGAGAAGTCGGGTCAAGATTGGAATAGGTTGAGCATAGGGTAAGTGCAACAGAGCACATGTGAGCTTGGCGGAGCTCCTCCCCCAAGGGGCGGGGCATGCGCCAGGATTGGGCGGGGTCATGGACTAATTCTTCTATTTCGGTCTCATAACAGTCCACACGCTGGGAAAAAATGTGCAAAGGTGAGGAACGGGTCTACAACTAAAATAAGGGAAGCTTACCGGCGGTGGGCGGAGCGTTCTCGCAGTGGGCGGTACCTTCCACAGAGATTCATAACTCGATTCAACGAAGGCATCGAGGCCAGGAAAAAAAGCAAAAGGGTTAACCAAGGCCCTATGCGTGCTAGGCATGCGTAGGCGTAGCAAAGCCCCGCCCACGGTGGGCGGGGCGTGCGTTAAAGTGGGCGGGGCTTAAATCAAAATTTCATAACTCTGTTCAGAAACGTTCTAGATTGCAGGAAAAAAGTGGTAAGAGGTAATGGAACAAATGTGGCCGAATTCCCGAAGTATGCGGGGTTGGCGTCAAAGTGGGCGGAGCTTAGATCAAAATTTCATAACTCTGTTCAGAAACGTTCTAGAATGCGGGAAAAAAGTGGTAAGAGGTAATGGAACAAATGTGGTCAAATCCTCGAAGTGGGCGGGGTTGGCGCCAAAGTGGGCGGGGCTTAGATCAAGAGATCTTTGTTCAGAAACGTCCTAGAATACGGGAAAAAAGTGGATAGAGGTAATGGAACAAATGTATTCCCCGAAGTGGGCGGAGCATGCACAGGAAAGCGGGGCTAAGACCAAAAATTCATCTCTTTAAAAACTTTTTGGAATGCGGAAAAAATGGTTCAGAGCAGACAAAAGAAGGGTGGTCAAGTTTACCGTGGGAAGGGTTTGCACTAGGGTGGACGGAGC